TTCCTCTCTGAGTATCATTGGCTCTTGTTCATATGGTATCTCTTGAAATGGTTGAACATTAACCATTTCCTTTTGGTACAATGACTCTGTGTATTAGGGATGGTCAAACTCTAATGAGCCTGCTAGACCCATGTTTTATTATTCTTTTTATTTGTGTGATTAAAAAATGCATACACTGTGCAGTGGATAAACATATTCAGAAGTGTAAGATCTAGAGGTGGTATTGAGATAGCTGAGATTGTAACATGTAGAAGGCATATTTTGTTAATGATACTTTATCCTGGTAATAACTACAGAAAATCAGAATGGGGATGTTTATTATTGGTGTTTATAAATCAATTCTTAAATGAACTTCCTTTTATAGCTATGGTGTAGAATCTGTGAATAGTACAGAGCATTAGCCAAGATAAAGAAAGAAATGAAGTATCATAAAACTAAGTATAAGACCAGTAAGTTAGAGTAAAGAAGTTTTCATTTCCAAGGGAGTAGGAGGGATGCTATTAGTCTCATTTACTGATAACAGCTTGCCAAAATACTGTCCTTTTTTATGAACACTTAATTTTCTGAGCTAAGAGAATGAATTATATATGATCTATAGCGTAGTATGATAAACATATCATGTAATTACAAAAGGGTTTTGGAAAACAGATGGGAGACAAGAAATAGGAATAAATGTACTTTAAATCAAGGCATATTCATTTGGGAAAAATGAAAAGTGAAAGAATGCTGCATTTAGGTAGAAAGCTAAGATAGGAGAACCATGGATGATCTCTCCCAGGCTGCCTGCTGTCCCATTGTTCTTTAAGGCCTGTATTATATAGGCATTGGTTTTTGTGATTGACAGCACTTCATTCTCAAGTCTTTCTGACCACCACCTCTGGTACTGTCCCAGATTTCTAAATTAAGTGGCATGCTGCATGTTCTGTATTCCAGTGTTAAAATTAGTAGATTTAACTTTTATGGTACTTATTTACATGCAGAACTTTTTTTTTTTTTTTTTTAATAATAAGTGTGTTTGGAATGGGAACCCATTCCAGGGATTCGTTTTATCCTCCTCTCCTAAGAGGTGAAAGGAGTTGCTGACTCCATAGCAAACAGCAGATGTCACTGCATCATCACTTACTTGGTTTCAGCTCATAGCTGGTTGAATACAACTACTTAACATAGCTTCCCAAACCCTAAATTTAAATTAGTATTTAAGGCTACATGACATTTTCAGACCCCTTATTTGTTGTTAAGTGCTGTTGCATCAGTCCCAACTCATAGTGATCCTGTACAGGGTTTCTGACACACTAGGACTACTTCAGGTATGAAATTCAAATTTAAAATGTGGAGTAAATGCAGCCCAAGTGTGTGTTTCTGTTTTTCCAGGTAGCTAACTCTTGAAACTTTTCCCATCAGCCTTTCAAAAATTATTTAGGATCCTGGGCAATTTTTTCATACTTGTTTTCAGTAGGGTTCATACACTTAAAAGCGTCATGGCCTTTCTGTACCTTGCTTTTTTTAAAAGCTTCCAGCAGGAAAATGAGATGCCACTATTCTCTTAAGTGAGGTGCCGAGCATCAAAGAAACGGTTTCTTTCTTTATTCTTCTGTTTGAAGTGTTAGCTTTAGTAATTGAGGAATTCAAGAACTGATTTATGACCAAAAGTCTTGTGGTACATCCTTTTTAAAAATCTCGTATGGTTTCAGTGGAGACAGGTTAGGGTAGTAGTGTTCCTTTATATGATTTTAAAAAGCAAAAGAAGTTGACAAAAGTCTTGAGACATACTGAATTTTTGGAACATTTTGATCCCATCAATGTTGACAGTAGCCAGAGTGGTATATGTCCCAGTTTGTTTGGGTTAGCCCTGTTTTAACACCTGTTCTGCTGGTATAACTATTAATAGCTTCCTCTTTCACTCTCGTTTGTCCTGCATTGGACAATATATGGTCACTCTAAATTACCGAAGGAGATTAAGGTGGAGGGAGCTGAAAAGTTGTAATTCTAGTAATTATAAGCTTTTTTTTTTTCTTTTTAACTAAAGAAGTATGCCTGCCCTGAGTTTTCTGAGTTAGACACATGCAAAATAATGCAAAGTCAGAAAAACTGGTAACTGTGGGACTAATAGCTTTTAAGTTTCTGTGTACTGATCAGTTGTTCTCTAGAGTAATGATTTCCAAATAATGGGTGTGGTTTAGAATCAGCTAGTAAGCTTTCATGACTCACTGAAGAGCTCTACTGAATCTGTATTAGAATTTGAACTTGACTTTACCAAAAAAAATACAGAAATGCATGTAATGCAAATGCACTGGGCTGCTTTGTCAGTAAGCATTTAAAATTTGCAGATAGAAGATTTCTTTCTAAGGTTTGGGTGATGTTTGCGATTCTCAGTGGTAGCAGCCTTGGGCCTAGAAGACATGCATGCCTAGCATTTACTTGAGTTACCTTTCTGTTTCAGATGTCATCTGGGTGATTCTCAGTGTGGAGGTGGGTGGACTTTTAGGAGTAACGCAGCAGCTGTCATCTTTTGAAACGGAGTTCAACACACAGCCACATCGCAAGGTAGAAGGAAACTTCAACCCGTTTGCCTCTCCCCAAAAGAACCGACAATCAGATGAAAACAACCTAAAAGACCCTGGGGGTTCCGAGTTCGACTCGATCAGCAAAAACACATGGGCTCCTGCTCCAGACCAAACTGAGCAAGATCAGAATAGACTCTCACAGAACTCTGTAAATCTATCCCCCAACAGTCACTCAAACAACTTATCAGTAGTGACTTACAGTAAGGTAGGTGCCCTCGGAGAAGAGGAGAAGGGGTAGGTGGTGGGCCTTGGGATTTGTAATACCCCTAGAATGCCACACCTCGGAGGAGGTTCTTTATGACTGCTTAGCTCTCCTGCCAACAGCAACAACACAAAAACCTACCCCTTCTCCCCTCCCCCCCTCCCCCAAATCTTCATGTCCTGTAGAAGTTGCTTAATTCACATTTATAATTTATTCTTGTCTCTCTGCTCTGGTTTGGGGTTGAAAGAACACAGTTCATTCTCACCTTAAAAAGAAAAGAAAGTCAAAATATCACCAGCCATACCTGTAGTGTAAAATGTGAATCTAAGCTTAGAGCAACAATGTACCCTTAGAATTTGTTCCTACTTTTGTTTTTCATTTGTTTTGGGTGGGATTTTCTTTGATGCTGTTGTTTGTTTTTAAGAAAAAAAGACAAGCTCAATTATTTTTCCAAAATATTGTTAATGAGCTTTTTACTTTATTTGCTCTATTTGCATGTCTTCTCCTTAATGCCATTTCAGTCTTTCATGGCCCGTTGGCCTCTTCACTCACAACCCAGAGTGACCCATGTGATAAAATTTTTACTTTGCACATCAATATATGAGAGAATTATTTAGTTAACCATGATTTTAAACACTGGTGGTTGTAGGGCACTGTTCTTAGGAGTTTACCTTCTTGATTTATTTCTCTTGATACTGGCTAGATTAAACAGTCTCTTTCACACTCTCAGGCGACAAGGGTTCCTGGTTGTTGCTGTTGCTGGTTGAATAAAGCCCTCATGCTGAGAGCCCTGTTGTAGGTGGTTTGTGTGGCAGGGTCCCACGAGTGTCTCTGTGCCTTCTCTGATTAATCATGCTGTGAAATTAGGGCTATAGTCTCTCACACACAGTTAAGTCAGCCCTTGCTTCATATGGGCATTCACCACCATATTTTTAAAATAAAGTTGTTTTTGATGTTTCTTTGAGGGGCAAATTGGTCTTCTGTTATAAGAACGGTATTGTTCTTACCAGTGGTTTATATATGGTATAAATCAAGAGGCAGATGAAGAAACATGGTGATGTGAATCCTCTTTTTCTACATGGTATAGAAGAGAGACTGCTTTCAGTGATAGTCTAATAAAGAATTGGTATATTGGTTGATATATATTGATATATATGTTGGTTGATATTTTTATATATATTATTATATATTGGTTGATGATCATTATAAAGAATTTTGTAAAGTCCTGTTCGTTTTATAGGACACAAAGTTAATTGGCAAGGCAGTAAATTGCCTGCTTTTTGAGGAAAGGCTTTTAACAGCTAAACAGCAGAATATTTTTCTGTAAACTCTTATTTCTCTTACATTTAAATCTTCAGATAATAACTGTTTTAGGAGAGAAGTGAGCCAAGCCTTCAGCTAAGTGTGCTGCCTGTTACAGCACAAGCTTGAGGTAGTTGAGTTTAATGTGAAGGTGAGAGTTGGCAAAACCAGTTGTTCCAGTGCTTTCTATAGTGGAAGTTCCTTCACCCAACTGGGAGCTACCTGACTCAGCCCTCACTGTCACCTTAGAAGAAGGATGGTATTCCTGGCCGGGCACCACAGTCATCTCCCTGTGTTGTGAACCCATTAGTTGTTTAACTCTCCTTTAGGGACTGATACATTTTAACTAACGGAGACTTGGAGTGGAGGCAGTATTCTTTGCCAGCTAAATTGAGTTCCAACCAAGTGCTGTTAATTTGGAAGGTCTGGGTTATGGTGAGGCTATAGAGAAACTTCTTGAACTTGGTGGACTCATGGTACGTCAACTGAGTTTTTTATGGACTCTAGTTAGTATCATTCAGAAGTAACATTTACAAGACTGTTGGCTGTAATGCATTGAGAACATAAAACTTAGACCCCAAAGAGAAAGGTGACTTCCTTTTTTCTTAACCTAAACAGAATCTAATTCAGAAAACACTTGTATAAGCATCCAGATTGTTCTCTGGAAGCATTTCTGACTAAAGTGAGGTCAGCTCCACCTCTAAAGGCTCGTTAGGAATGGTCTAGGGTGTAGATACTCATTAGTAAGTATTTAACACATCTCTGCCCTGTTCAGAGCATTATATAGTAGGAGACTCAAGAGTTAAGAGGAATAAAAGATGTGATCCCTACTCAGGAAGAAATTATATTAACAGTTGTTAAGAGCCTTTGAGTCATTCTGATTCACAGTGACCCTGTATAGGGCTTCTGAGGAGTGCGGTGGCTTTGAACTTCTGACCTTGCGGATAGCAGCCCAGTGCTTATCCTACAGCACCACACCAGTACTCCCGTTATAGTTAAGTATTGTCAAGTCGGTTCTGACTCATAGTGCCCTTGTATAGGCTTTCCGAGAAGTGGATGGTGAATTTAAACTGCTGACGGGTTAGCAGTCCATTGCCTATCCTACAATGCCATACCAGGACTCCACCTTGATGATTGTTGTTGTTGTTGTTAGGTGCCATCGAGTTGGTACCGACTCCCAGCAACCGTATTCACAGCAGAACAAAACACTGCCCGATCCTGTGCTAACCTCACTATTGTTGCCACGCTTGAGTCCATCGATGCTGCCACTTGGCCAATCCATCTTGTTGGGGTTCTTCCTCTTTTTCTCTGACCCTCCACCTTACCAAACATGATATCCTTTTCCAGCGACTGGCCCTTCCTGACAATATGTCCAAAGTATGAGAGATGAAGTTTGGCCATCTTGGCCTCTGAGGAGCACTCTGGTTGCACTTCTTCCAATACAGATCTGTTGGTTCTTCTGGCAGCCCATGGCCCTTTCAATATTCTCCTCCAAGACCGTAACTCAAAAGCATTAATTCTTTCATGGTCTTCCTTATTCACTGTCCAGGTTTCGCATGCATATGAGGTTATTGAAAATACCATGGCTTGGGTCCTGACACCTTTGTTCTTCAAAACTTTAAAAAGGTCTTGTGCAGCAGATTTGCCTAATGCAATACATCGTTTGATTTCTTGACTGCTGCTTCCATGAGTGTTGATGGTTGATCCAAGAAGAATGAAGTCCTTGACAACTTCAGTCTTTTCTCCATTGATAAGAATGTTTATTGGTCCAGGTCATCAATTCAATTCATGCTTTCGCTCAATGCTTAACTCAACCTCCAGTCCAACAGGAATATCTAGGGAAAGCCCAGGTTCACCTGTCAGGAAACACCTTTTAATAAGGTAGCACTTGGATTTGAATTCCAACTCTGCCTCTCACTAGCTGTGTAATACATACAACAACAATAATAACATCACCAAGGTATGAACGAGGCAGAGTGGAAACAGGTAAGTGGCTGTAATGGAAAGTGAGGGTTACCTGTGGCTCCTGCATTTTGAAGAATCTGTTTTCTGAATCTCTAAAGTGGTGGTAATTTTACCTAGGTAATAAAAATAGGGCTATTTTTGTAGTCCTTAGAGATACACAAACCCATGTGGTATTTATAGTAAGTACCACCCTTTTGTTATGAATGAATAGAAAGGAAGGAGAACCTGAGGAGCTGGAATAGGTACAGTGTTTTCAGTTCACCCCAGATGTGTCTTCATTGGATGGATAGGAGGGCTACTCAGTGTGCTAATGTCAGGGGTCGCTGAGTTGGCAATTGATTTGATTTACTCTAAAGACATTCCCTGCTTGCCATCAAGACTAAGAACATGATGCCCTTGGAAGCCCATGACCACGGTTTTAGTAGGCAGGTACTGTTTCTTCTTGCCTCCACAGTTACAGTTTAACTTGCTAATAAGGTTGGTAGGATGAAATGAAAAGATTGCATCATGCACCTGTTCTTTGAGGGTTGGTGGATGTGGCAGTATAATGGCACATTAGTGCCAGACACTGGACACCCCTGGAGTCCCTCCACAGCTGCTTCTGAATAATCCTAAACTCTCTGGGCTCAGTGCTCCAGGCTTGGTGGGGTCATGGGCAGAGATTGCAAGGGGACTCTGCGTAGGGAACTTCACTGCATCCCACATGTGTGAGAGCTGGCAGGGGTAGTCAGAAATAATATATGCTGACCTGCCCCAAAGATTCATAAGTCTGGCAACTTTTGTTTTGTTAGAGAAGTTGCCTAGCCTCATTGTGAGCTCTATTGTGGCTGACCTGCCCCAGGTGAATAGTCAGATCAAGTATTGGTAAAGTTAGGAGCTGGTTTAATTAACCTTTTTTATGTGTTTAGATTAAGAGCCTTTGAAGACAAACACAGTCCCAATAGGGTAGGTGCTCATTCTGTTGAATCTAAGGCTTATTTGGCAATGAATTCTAGCGCTCCACCTCATCTCTGGAGGCCAGGGTAGTATCTATTTGGACAGTGAGAGTAGTGACAGTTTACAGAGAATTTAATAGGAGTAGGGAAATCCTATTAGAATCAGAAAGGTCTTATTCTTATTTGCCAGTTTTGGGATATATGTGTGTTCTAAGGAATAGATCATTTTTAAAGAAGGGCTTCTTTAATAATAAAACCACAAACCATCTGTTCTAGAAACAACTATGGATGGCAAAAATATCAAGGAGCTGTTCTTCATTACAGCTAAATGCTTTACTTCTTTCTCCAAAAGAATAGTAATTTGCACAGGGAGCTGCAGAAGGATCTCAGATTCATTTATTTTGAATTATTTTTGCTACTTGGACTATGGCTCTTCTGTTTTTGTTTTTAATGTTTGAGGCTAATAATATGTCGCATATTATTATTAAATGCTGTCAAGTCATTACCGACTCACAGCAACCTTTTGCACAACAAAACAAAACATTGCCCTCAGTCCTGCGCCAACCTCAACAATCGTTGCTACGGTGCTGCCGCTGTGCCAGTCCCTCTCACTGGGATGGATTTTTGTCTTTTTCACTGACCCTCCACTTTACCAAGTATGATGTCCTTCTCCAGGGACTGGTACCTCCTGATAACCTGTCCAAAGTATAAAAAATGAAATCTGGCGATCCTGACTGTATGTCTTTCAACACAGGTTTGTTTGTTCTTTTGGCAGTCCATGGTACTTTGAATAATTCTTCT